GAATGACTGTCATCAAAAAGAACACAACAAATGCTGGTGAGGATGTGGAGAAAAGGGAACCCTTGTGCACTGCTGGTGGGGATGTAAATTGGTGCAGCCACTGTGGAAAACAGTATTGAGGTCTCTCAAAAAACTAAAAACAGAACCACCATATGACCCAGCAATTCCACTCATGGGTATATATCTGAAAAAAAACCCCAACAATTTGAAAAGATACATGCACCCCAATGTTCACAGCAGCATTATTTACAATTGCCAAGATATGCAAACAACTAAGTGTTCATCAACAGATGAATGGATTAAGAGGATGTACACACACACAATGTAATACTACTCAGTCATAAAAAAGAACGAAATTTTGCCATTTGCAGCAACATGGATGTACTTGGAGGGCATGATGCTAAGGGAAATAAGTCACACAGAGAAAGACAAATACTGTATGATATCACTTATATGTGGGACCTAAAAAATACAACAAACTAATGAATGTAACAAAAAAGAAGCAGGCTCACAGTATACGTATAGAGAACAAACTAGTGGTTACCGGTGAAGGGGGGCAATATGGGGCGTGGGGGAGTAGGAGGTATAAACTACTGGGTGAAAGACAGGCTCAAGGATGCACAATATTATGCAACATGGGGAATAGAGCCAATATTTTGTAATAATTGTAAAATGGAAAGTAACCTTTAAAAATTATATTTAATTTTTTTTTAAAGGCATTGCCAAACAAAAAAACAAACCATGGTGAGTTTTCTCTCTCTCTTTTTCCACCATGTGAGGATACAACAAGACAGCAGTCTACAACCTCAGGAGGGTTCTCACCAGAACTCAACCATGCTGGCATGCTGATCTCTGACTTTCAGCCTCCAGAACTGTGAGAAATAAATCTCTACTGTTTATAAGCTACCCCAGTCTATGGTACTTTGTTATAGCAGCCCAAACTAAGACACTTACCAAACTAGGTTAATGTATGTAAACGTACACATACAAACACATATGTATATTCTTCTTTACCACCAAGGTTCTTCATATTTATACTGAAAGTAAAAACTGTTAAAACTTGTGATTAGCCCTATTTGTTTCAATGACACTCCTTGCTGATGACAAGATGAATGATAAACTAGTATTCCTATTTCTTTGGCTGGATTAGATTAAGAAACAATGAGAACCAAATAGGATTCATTTTATGTTCTGAATGAAGTGTTCCTTTCATTAACTTGCTTCTGAAATAATCTCATTAGAAAACAATTATTGTGCTCTTAGGACTTGGCACTACACACCGGGTGCTCCATATTTTAATTCCTATGTTATAACGCCATTTCAAACTCAAACCAAATATAGTAGCAGTGCTGTTAGATTTACATCTCACAGAAAACCTCACTGAATTTACAGTCACATGAATCCCAGCCTGTCAGCTCACTTCCTCAGAAGCACAAATCCATGTCAAGCCTCCAGCTGCAAAAAATATGCTCATAAAACACAAATCTGGGATCACTGTTAAACCAGGGAATTAGCTACTTGAGAAAGCACAGCAAATTTTCTCATTTTAAATATGAAAAAACAAGGACCACTGTAAGACCAGTGGTAATAATACAAGAGACTTACATAATAATCTAATGCAAATAAAATGAAAGTGCATCTAACAGCCTTCGAATACTGGCTTACAAAGCATGAAGTGTTGCAAGAACTTTTCAAAGAACGTAATTTAGTTAAAATTTTTTTTTAGTTTAGAAAAAAGCACTCTGATTATTCAACTAAGTTGTAGCCACCCTCTTTAAACAGTTACCAAATCCCCGGAGAAGAAAGGCAGAACTTAACTGAGAGAAGTACATGAAAACAAACTAACTAAATTGCCTCACATATTATGCTGAAGGCTCAACAATGGAATATTACTCAGCCATAAAAAGAAACGAAATTGAGCTATTTGTAATGAGGTGGATGGACCTAGAGTCTGTCATACAGAGTGAAGTAAGTCAGAAAGAGAAAGACAAATACCGTATGCTAACACATATATATGGAATCTAAGGAAAAAAAAATGTCATGAAGAACCTAGGGGTAAGACAGGAATAAAGACACAGACCTGCTAGAGAATGGACTTGAGGATATGGGGAGGGGGAAGGGTAAGCTGTGACAAAGCGAGAGAGAGGCATGGACATATATACACTACCAAACGTAAAACAGATAGCTAGTGGGAAGCAGCCACATAGCACAGGGAGATCAGCTCGGTGCTCTGTGACCGCCTGGAGGGGTGGGATAGGGAGGGTGGGAGGGAGGGAGACGCAAGAGGGAAGAGATATGGGAACATATGTATATGTATAACTGATTCACTTTGTTATAAAGCAGAAACTAACACACCATTGTAAAGCAATTATACTCCAATAAAGATGTAAAAAAAAAAATCTCAATTCACTTTATACTTCCCATGAGTGTGAAAAATACTTTCATTAACATCATTCCTTAGAGTAGGTTATTTTTCTACTTTAACATATACTTTCAAGTATGTTAAAATCAGACTTACAAAGAAGTATTAAAATATGTACTTAAAACACATTTAAGTAAATAGCCTTCAAATAAATTCCACCAAGAGGTGGAATTTTTAATCAGGGTTCTCATAAGACCAGTATTTTGGTATGTACATGTATACAGCATGAAATACCCTTGTATATACTTTCTGAATATCATGTACACTTGGTCCTAAGCTGTAACAGTAAAGCATCTCTCAGCTCCATTACAGAATTGCCCCATTTTGGACTGACAGCATTCTTTCAAAACTCTATTTAAGGGTAAGGAAGGGCATAAGGGCCATAAGAAATAATTATCTAGACTTCCAAGAGGGTCAGGGAGAGAACTTATCTTGAGCAGAGCTATGAACAGGCCATATCTAACAAATTAAAATTTAAAAATAAAATATTCATTTAAGTACAAAATAGCACCTGTACAAATATGGGTTTGGAACACATGATTTAAAACTAGAACGTGAGAAAAGACAGGCGTATTTGTCAAAATGGAGCTCAAAATGAGTTAAAAAGAATGGCACACCCAAAATCATTAAGTGTGGTCAAAGATAGCAGTGAGATAGATAGATAGATAGATGTATAACTGAATCACTTTGCTGTACATCTGAAACCAACACAACATTGTAAATCAACTATACTTCAGTAAAACAAAATTTTAAAACAAGTAAGAGAAGAATAACCCCCCAAATTTTAAGGTTATAGATTTTAATTTGGTCATAGTTAACTACTAGGAAAAGAAAAACTACTCCTTTTTAAGACTCATAATGTGATCGCTGGGTAAAAAAATGCACATGTATATTTCTCAAAATAAATAATCTAATGTAAATTTTTAAAAAAAGAACTCTATTTCCATATAGGCAGATGATAACCACACTACAGTGTGCACTGGTTAGACTATATAGTCATTTATGGCATTTAATTTACAAGAGCGACCCAAAACAATGAGGGGATCTGAATAAAGTTAACAAGAGATTCATTTCACATTCAACAAGTAGTTACTGAGCACTATTCCCAGGATATAACAGATTAAAAAACTGACAAGGTCTCAGGTTCTCATGCACTTTACATTACAATGTGGGCATCCTCTATCCCACCCTCCTACCCTTGGGAGGGTAAGAGAAAGATTTTTTTTAATATGAAGGTAGGTAGGATAGGATAGTACAAGGGAAATAATATGGAACTTTGAGTCAGATGACCTAAATTCAAATCCTAACTTGATTATCACCTCAGCCTGTTTCCTCACCTGTAAAATACAGATGAAAACGATCACATGATTATAAGAATCAAATGATATAAAAAATATAAAAGCATTCTTTAAGCTCTGTTTATGTAAGAGGAGGATCAAATTTCTTCTGCAAGATTTCAAAGGATATAACAAGGTTTCACCAAAAGGTAGACAGATTTCAGCTCCATACAATTCAGGGCTCATCCAAGATGGAATGGGCTGTCCCCTAATATTACAGGTGATCACACATGGGCTTACTGGCCTCTTGGCAAAAATCCAGAAAAACACAGTAAGTTCACATAACATGTCCACAGTAGTCACAGAATATAATATTTGCTCTTACCCTCTCTGGGGAAGAAGCAAAACAAATGATTATGTTTAGTATTAAATATGTGCCAGATTAGTTTTTCTGTATGCATGATGCAACTGAAAGGTGACTGTTATATCTGGATCAATCTGTCCAAGTCCCAGTTTTTCCACTATAGGTTTGGTAGGGGAATTGAAAAAGATAGTATAACTAACTGCCCACCATAAAGCAGCTTCAAAAATGTCATTTCCCTTTTCCTTTGCCACTTATAAACTCTGTTCATGTATGCTCAACTTTCATTATTTGCTATTCATAGAGCAAGGGTATCTGATTAAATAAGAAGGAAATACTGTTCAGCACAATATTATTTTAAAAAACAAATAATCACTAACACATTAAAAAAGATTCCGTTGAAAGAAATTAAGTTTGGGGCTTCCCTGGTGGCACAGTGGTTGAGAGTCTACCTGCCAATGCAGGGGACATGGGTTCGAGCCCTGGTCTGGGAGGATCCCACATGCCACGGAGCAACTAGGCCCTTGAGCCACAACTACTGAGCCTGCGCGTCTGCAGCCTGTGCTCTGCAACAAGAGAGGCTGCGATAGTGAGAGGACCGCGCACTGTGATGAAGAGTGGCCCCCACTTGCCCCAACTAGAGAAAGCCCTCGCACAGAAACGAAGACCCAACACAGCCAAAATAAAATAAATAAATAAATAAACTTAAAACTGTTAAAAAAAAAATTAAGTTCTGCAACTTTATATGGAAACCATGTTGATTTTTAAAAAAAGAACTGGAAAATACAGTATTAGCAACCTTGTATTCATTCTTCCACTCATTCAACAAATAGTACTAACCACCTACCATGTACTAGTCATTTGCAATTAAAGGTTTTTTTTTGTGTAATTGAAGATTTTTAATTAGATATATTCCACAGACTGCCAAAGAAAATCTAACCTGGGTTCTGGCTATAAAAAGGTCCTCCGTTCATCTGATTCTGAAGGCTTGTTTGTGAAGTTATGGAAGGAGGGCGCCTATAGGGCAAAGAGCCCCCTATTGTTGGGGGAGTATGGCGAGTGGCAGGTCTATTCATGCTGTAGAACTGAACAGGATGACCTGGAAAAGGGACAGAACATAAATTTGTCACTAAAAGAAAATTATCTCAGACAATGAAATACTTTAGGTACAATGCCTGAATCTTAATAAGATTATTAAAAATAACAATATTTAGCTAATTTCATTGCCATCTGACAAATATTAATGCAAGGTGACTGTTATTGCTCAGTTGACAGTATATCCAAGTGCAAAAGCAGGAAAGTAGGTAAATAAAATTATGATTAGGTTTGGAAAAGCTATATCTAAATAGATTACTAATTAATATTATGATTTTATTAAATTAGTAATTTGATAGGGTTTCAAAATCATCACAATTAGGGCTTCCCTTGTGGCGCAGTGGTTGAGAGTCCGCCTGCCGATGCAGGGGACACGGATTTGTGCCCCGGTCCGGGAGGATCCCACGTGCCGCGGAGTGGCTGGGCCCGTGAGCCATGGCCGCTGAGCCTGCGCGTCCGGAGCCTGTGCTCCGCAACGGGAGAGGCCACAACAGTGAGAGGCCCGCGTACCAACAAACCCCCCCCCCCAAAAAAAAAAACAAAACCAAACAAAATCATCACAATTAAAATTTATGGGGGGCTTCCCTGGTGGCGCAGTGGTTAAGAATCCTCCTGCCAATGCAGGGGACAGGGGTTCGAGCCCTGGTCCAGGAAGATCCCACATACATGCCGTGGAGCAACTAAGCCCATGCGCCACAACTACTGAGCCTGTGCTCTAGAGCCCGCGAGCCACAACTACTGAGCCCACAGGCCACAACTACTGAAGCCCGTGTGCCTAGAGCCCGTGGCTCTGCAACGAGAAGCCATGACAATGAGAAGCCCATGCACTGCAACGTAGAGCAGCCCCCTCTTGCTGCAACTAGAGAAAGCCCGCGCACAGCAACGAAGACCAAACACAGTCAAAAATAAAAACAAATAAATAAATTTGAAAAAAAAAATAATAAAATAAAATTTATGGCTCACTTCCTCCCAAAAAACACCAGCAATTAAACACTGAAAACTAAACTCAACAAGATGAGAAAAACGTTTAGAAAAGAAAAAGAAAAAATGTTTGACACACAGTCTTATTCCAAAATAATAATAATAGTAATAAATTTAAGGTAGCAAGCCAATTTGTTTAAAGGAAATCATAAAATATTTCAGCAAAAGGTCAAGTGACATAATTCCAAATCACATTTTTCAATCAAAAATATCCTTCTCTAAAGTTAGATTATTCTGTCTTAAAATTAGAGTTTAACAAATTTACAATTATGAAAAAAAGCTAAGATACAAAAAGTGTATCAAAAATACCTAATTTTTAGTATCATCCTGAACGTGTTCATATTTAGCAGCAATTTCATACATTTTGCTCTCTGAGAGCACCTCAACAACTAATGCCAACAGGAGATACTCTTTCTTAATCCATCCAATTGCCTAGTTCAATCCAGTTCCTAAATTTTATCTTGACTCCACTTCTACTTAAAATCATTAGCTAAGGGCCTACTGTACAGACAGACCAAGTACTAGGGCACCCATGAGAGAGCAGGCAAGAAAAGAGAAGAAGGGGGAGGAATGGGGGAAGGGGAGCAGTGAGGGAGAGAAGAGGAGGGAAGAGCAGGGTGAGCGGAGGGAAAGGAGGAGGGGAGGAGAAAGGACAAGGGAGGAAGGGAAGAGGCGGAAAGAGAAAAACACAACAAGTTTTCTTCTTTTCCATGATTGTAAAATGGTTTTACATGACTAAAACTGATCTTCAGGAACTGTTAAATTTATCAAACTTGGATTCATATGGATACTCATATAAAGAATACTATAGAAGCACTCAAGAGCTGCTATAGGATTTACTCTTCATACATACGACAGTATCAAAACCTAAAACTCAATTCTGTTGTATAAAAATCTTGAGTTATCAACCTCAAGCATAATCCACTGTCAATTTATATAGCCATGATAAAAATGTAAAAGCATGTAAACTAATAAGCTATTTTTTAGAAGGTATATTTTGTCATTTGAATCATACATTACTGGCATTTTAGGCATTAATCTGTAACACCCTAATACAAACCTAGAATAATCAAGTTAAAAACTCTGATATTTAACCCCATTATGAATTTTATATAGTTAGATCCAGTCTAAAACCTCCCATGTTATAAGCCATCAGTGATCCAAAGACACTACATAATAAAGACTCTATTCAAACCATTAATGAGGCATTTATTTTGCTTTGAGCTGAAAAACAAAACTATAGTTTAATTACCATAGACCTAACTATAAAAACCTGAAACTAAAAACTTCTAGAAGAAAACAAGACAAAAATCTTTTGTGACCTTGTGTAAGATAAAGAGTTTGTAAACACAACACTAAAAGCACAATCCCCAAAAGAAAAAAAAAAAGAAAAAAAGAGCAATGAACCAGACCATCAAAATAAAGAACTTCTGCTCTTTAAAAGATACCATTAAGAAAATGAAAACGTAAGTCACAAAATGGAAGAAAACATTTGCAAATCACACAATTAATAAAAGGCATATTCAGAATATAAAAGGACTCAATAAGAAAACAAACAACCCCATTAAAAAGGTGTGTGAGGGGAAGCAAAAACATTTGAACAGACATTTCACCAAAGAAGATGGCAAATGAGTACATGAAAAAGATGTTCTACATCATTATTCATTGGGGAAATGTCAGTCAAAACCACATGAGAAACTATTATACACCTATGAGAATGGCTAAATTAAGTATACATATATATATATGTGTGCATGTGTGTATATAATGACAATACCATGTGCTAACAAGTACGCAGAGCAACTGGAAGTCTCACACACTGCTGGTGGGCATGCAAAATTGTACAACCACTTTGGAAAACAATTATGCAATTTCTTATAAAGTTAAGCATTCACTTACCAGACAACCCAGCAATCCTACTCCCTAGGTATTCACCCAAATGAAATGAAAGCCTATGCTCACACAAAAGTCTGTGTGTGAATGTATTTGGCAGTTTTTTCATAATCACCCAAAATTGGAAATAAATCCAAATGTCCCTCAATTGGGAAAGGGATAAACAAACCGTGGTAAATCCATTCAATAGAACACTACTCAGTAATAAAAAGGAACAAAATAACAAAACATGTAATAATGCATAAATCTCAAATGCACTGTGCCAAAAAGCCAGACCCAAAAGGTTACGTTACATATGCTTCCATTTATGGTATTTTTACAAAGGCAAACTTTAGAGGAAAAAAAAAAAAAACAGATCAAAAGGTTGCCAGGGGCTAAGAGTGAAATGAGTGAAATGGGAGGACTGCCTACAAAGGGGGCATGGAGGAAATCTGGGGATGATAGGACTTTTCTATACCTTGATTGTAGCTGTGGTTATATCACTGTATATACATTTGTCAAAACTCACATTAGTCCATACTAGAAAGGGTGAATTTTACTGTATATAAATTATACCTTAATAAAAAGAAAAGAAAAAAAAGTATTTGGTGGGTGATTCAAAGATACTACATAAAAGAGATTATATTGATATAAGTTGTTAATAAGGCATTTACTTTGCTTTTTGTTAAAAAACTGTAATTTCACTCATACAACAAATGTTGATTCAGTGCAGACTAGGAACCAGCATCTGTTATTAATTTATAATTTAATTACTAAAATGTTGACTCTAGCTGAGGGTGATTTGTCCTTTCTGGGCCTACAACTGATTTCAAGATGTATTCCTTACTCTGCTGATGCAGGAGCATAACAAGATTTCTATATTTAACTAGCTAGAGTGGCCTAACAGAGTGGTATGTAGATAAAAGGACAGCTCATGTTTACATACACCCACTGCAGAAAGCTTTTCTTAAAAAGTGCTGTTACAGAAGCTATGCCATAAAACACCATCCAAAATGAATGGATTAACATGGATTTTTAAGATGTCTTTTAAAACACTTAAACACCTAGATACAGCAGCAGCACTGCACATACATTCTATGAAGTACTTTATTAACCAGCTAAGGTGATGTGTGTCCAAACACATACATTTCTATAGTAGATAAGAACTTGTTTACTAAACCAGCATCACTATTAACTTTGAAAATATACTTTGTAGCAATTGAGCCTTTTTCTCCTTAGCCATGAAAACAAACTTTAGGTTGCAATTTTAAAACAGTAAAACACCAATCTTAAATTACAAATAAACTTGAAATCCTTAAAAAGCCCCCTGACTATGTGTTTCCAGTGCTGTTATAATAAGCAACAAATTCTGTTATAATAGACTTGTACTTTCAAACTGTTATATCAAATATTTCCTATAGAATATACCTTAAAACTACTGTCATAGACTTTTCTTTTTATTAATGACATAACCTGTAACAAAGAATACTTCTGATAACAACTTCTCAAAACTGTATAGAAGGGACTTCTCAGAGGTTCAGTGGTTAAGACTCTGTGCTCCCAATGCAGGAGGCATGAGTTCAATCCTTGATCAGGGAACTAAGATCCCATATGCCCAACAGCACAGCCAGAAAAAAAAAAAAAAAACTGTAGAGAAGACAGCTCCATACTAAATTTGCAAATCTCTAGTAAATAAAATTCAAGCAATAAAAAATGTGTATTTGTGCTATTCTACTAGAAAAAATGAGAAACCTTACCCTGATTCCCTCAGGAAATTCTATTCTTTGGTCACATGCCATTTTCTAGTTAGCACATTATTCTTCAGATTTTTTTTTAATACAACCACAAACAAACAAAAATCATAAAGCCAGAGTTCCAGGTAAGAGAAGAGTCAGACAATTGGATCTGCCTGCCAAAGAATAAACCAATACTCACCTGTAGAGGGAGTGGAAGAAACAACAGGGGGAGTTGGAGAAGTGAAGCCATCAGCAAGGGTCTGGGCACCCCCAGCGGCAGTGTCTGGGGCAGTGGAGGGAGGGACAGTAGCAGGAAGAGGGGCAGGGGCAGATGCAGAAGTAGCAGGATGGGGAGGAGTACCAGCAGAGCCAGCAGGGGCTGAGGGGAAAGAGGAGTAAGAGGCAGCATTAATGAGGCAGTTCCATCAGGCAGGATTAGAAACGGCATTAGAGAACTTAATGTTAGATACTCGGTGCTTATCAATAACCAAAGAATAGAAGAGAGTGTTAAAAAAAAGAATGAGCTTATTATGTTAAAGGATTATTAAGGTTTGCAGCAAATAATTCAAGATGCTAAGAGTAATGTACAGGATTTTAAATTCATTAAAAGCATTCCTTTTAACCTGATAGCCACTACTCTAGAAGAAAAGTGCTCCCTTTATATTGTTATTTTTAACATTCTGTAAATATTGATAGTATACAAAATGAAACACAACACACTACAAAATGACAGTATTCCATTTTGAAGTATACAAATCAGAAAATAAAAATATTTCAGACATAAATATCTTATCAGGTAAAAAAGAATTTAGAAAAATAACTCTTTTTCATGATTTTTAAAAACGTATTATCTATTTGTTATTATAAGTAAGTTAAATATGTAATATTCTATCCTTACATCTTTTCTGTCATGTTTTTAAAACTAAATTTTAACTCTGTGTCCTCAGATTAAACAGGTACATTTTTCTGTTTCAGACAAAAGAGGGTAGCATTTCAGTGACTATCAAGTTCTCAGAGTCCATGAGATTGAACTGTCAAAATTATATCTGCTCAATCCTTTGCTACCAATATGGTTCTCACACTGAGACCCCACTGTGCCCAAAGGCATGCACTGTCATAACACCAGCTGGAATTAAACATGTAACTCATTCTGGTGAAACCTCAACTCAAAGCACCAACTACTACGCCACAGCACCAAAGACACAAAACCAAATAACAGAGAAGTATGTGAACGTAAACTCACAAATCATTTGGTTAAAAATAACAAACGCATAAAGATTTTTCAGCATTTACAGAGTCTTCGAGGGAAAAAAACCCTGATTATGAAGAAAGCCCAGTGTAATTAAATCAGAAATTGAATCCAAACTCAGCAAGGTGAAGATGAAGCACAATTCATGTTTTACCTGGAAAGACACTGGGAGGAGAAGGCGTAGGAACAGCAATGGGGACTCCCACACTCCCACTTCCACTGTTCTCTCGACTGCTGCTCCGACTACTAGGGTGGCTTCCTCCGCTACTCCCGCTGCTGCTAAAGAAACAGGAGCCACCAAAACATGAGTATTGATACACAGCAAGATACTGCCAGCATTTTCCAAAATTTTCTGAAACGAATATAGCTACAAAATGATAATTCAAAAGCCCTCCACTTAAAAGATGAATTTCTTAATAAAGTAAGGAAAAAAACTGAGTTCAAGAAACTTGTTTTGGCTACCTTTTAATAAGCATGCATTAAAGAAACTGAGAAAGAAAAAAAATTCTCCATAAACATAGTGATAAATCATGGAGCTTGACACATAAAAATATTACTTTCTTTTATTCCAGTTTAATGGCTGTCTGAAGAAACCTCTTTTATAATAAAAACAGTTTTCCTAAACAACTTATTTGATTAATTTTATTTGTAATGATATCATGATATACTATCCCATATTAATGTTTTATTGCATATAGTTTTTCATCTGTAAAGTTCCACCAAAAAACAACTTGAAATTTCCCACATCTGGTCAATTATTTTTTTCAGGTCAACAATAACTATTAATCTTGCAGAGAAATTTGCACTTTGAGATGACTGTTCTCTTTCAACTTCCTGGCTGCTCAAAGTTGCATCAGAACATGAGGAGAGAGATGTAGAATCAGATGAGGTTTGGGGGAGCAGAGTGAGGAAAAGAACTTAGTGTTTGGAAAATGAGAGAGATTTAACTGAAGTTATCTGAACAAATTATGGTACTATGACCATCACATTTTGCGCTGAGGTAGAGAAAATACCTGTAAGTTCGATTTCTTTGATTCACAGAAGCTGTCCTCACAGGGCTCTGCTGCGAGGGAGCCATAGTACGGGCTGGGCTAGGTACGTAATCATTTGGTACCACTGGAGGGCGCACTGGCTCCAGTGTGCGATAGGGGGAGTGCCGCCTACAAAAAGAAGAGCGTATGTATTGTGTGATTAGCAAGTTTCGGCACAATCAATTCAGAGCTGCCAGTAGTGAAATACAGTTTGTACTCGGAGGTAGTAGAATGTGTTTTAAAAAAAAACCCAGCTACCAATTTCAGTCTTCCCTTAAGTATCACTTCTCCACCATTAGGGTTTTGATGCATATTGCTGTATTTTTGTCTCCAACTTCATTTCCCTCTGCTAATGCGATTTTGTTCATTCATTCTGAGAGCATGAAGATTCTACTACCAGGTAAGCCAATGTTTCCCAGACTCTCTTCTTAGATGAGTTCAAATTATTTTACTGCCATGTCAAATTCCCCCAACTGCACTGCATAAATGCACTAATTATCCTCCTCACCACTCTCTCCCTAACCAAAAACTCAGACAGGGCAAATCAGTCTAGAACATGGCTCCACAACCCCCGCACTGATGATCAATAGCAACCCTAACAAGTCACTTCCCTTTCTATAAGGTACAGAAATAAAACCACGTCCACACACAGAAATATATAATTTAATCTCAACTCCTTCCATTCTCACTTCACATCCTCCTTCAGCTGTCACCTTGATTGTTCTTACCTCTTACCCTCTTCACAGTTCAACATTTAAAAGGGAGAGAAGGAAAAAAGATCACCTAAGTCTTTCTACCTTATTTGAAGTACAAAACAGACTGGATTTCATTAGCATATCTCCCTCTTTTTTTCAAAATTTCCTTTTAAAAGAAAAGAATGAGAAGAGCAAGAAAGGAAATATGATAGGAAATAGGATGCACACTGGAACACTAGTAATTATTGAGTTAGTTCTCATCTTTAAGTTTCCAAATAACTTTATGACAATGATAAATACTCAACTGACACGAAACTGATATTGTGTAGATGAGATTCTGGTCTTTAACTGGATCTCAAGATGTGAAAATTAAAGAGCTTTCTTTTCCTAAAATGATGTTGCTCACCTGACTTATGTATTTCTCAATAGTTCACTTCCCCAAAAGCTCCCAAGGTTCCTTTAAATACTGTTCTCCTGGACCACTCGAGTTTTGGCTCATTGATTCTGGATGAGATTACTCTGCAATGACCCTGTCTACTACGCTCAAAATCTTCTTGCATAAACAAATATACACATTATTAAAAATAAATAACAGGCACTAGACAAGATATTGGGTCAAAGAAAGGAAAAGGAACGTTAGGACCTTGGATTTAAAATACAAAAAAGGGGCTTCCCTGGTGGCGCAGTGGTTAAGAATCTGTCTGCCAATGCAGGGGACACAGGTTCAAGCCCTGATTCGGGAAGATCCCACATGCCGCAGAGCAACTAAACCCGTGCACCACAACTACTGAGCCCGCGTGCCACAGCTACTGAAGCCCACACGCCTAGAGCCTGTGCACCGCACCAAGAGAAGCCACCGCAATGAGAAGCCCGCACACTGCAACGAAGAGTAGCCCCCGCTTGCTGCAACTAGAGAAAGCCCGCATGCAGCAACAAAGACCCAACACAGCCAAAAATAAATAATAAATTTATTTTAAAACATAAATAAAATAAAAGACAACAAAGTTTGGGCATCTCTGAAGTTATGATATTAACATAAAACACCATAAAATACGAAACTGATTGATTTCCAATTTTTCCGAGACAATAAAAATGTTCTGTTTCATGCAAGAAAAAAAAACCTTTGCTGAGAACCATACAATGAAGACAATGATTAAAAAAAAAGGTAAAAAACTAGGGGCAGAGGACAAAACACGGTAGCTGGGCAAAGACCGCAAAAGAGCCAGGCTGTGACCATCAAACAGCTAGTGGTGCCCAGCCACTCCAGTCTCCGAAGACACTGCAGAGCCCTTGCTAATACACAAGGAAAACAAATACTAGTGTATGAGTAAATCTTTAAAATTGGGGAGCAACAGAAAATTTTATTTTACTAGGGTTATCTTGCTAACAATCTTGATTCAAAACCTAATAAAATCCATTAGATACTATACATGATAGAAATACAGACATTCCACAGGAAAATAAATACTTCCTCTTGACCTGATTCTCCACTCTTACCCTGTACAATTATAACCTACCACACATCATCTACATTCTACCCTGAAGTTTAAATCTTATTTAAGCTACTAGATTCTTTCCTCTCTAATCCAAGCAGAATTTTTTGTCTACTCCGAATAAAATCATCTTATTCCTGGCTGGAACTCATTTTTATTCTTTTGTTTCACACTCTCCTAACTATAATTCCTCCTCCAACATCATCTTTCTTTGCTTGATTAGACTGCTAGGGTTTTTTGTTTGTTTCTTTTGTTTGGTTGGTTAGTTTTTTGTTTTTTGCTTTTTTTTTTTTTTGGTGAGGGGGCCAAGTAACAAGATTGCCAATTAAAAACTTTTAAGCATATATCACAAAGCCAATGGTAGTCAAAGCATTTTGTCTTACACATTTAAAAAAAAATCCAATTCATGGTACAGTGACTCTGAAAAGTTGACAAAGGACAAATTACCCCCTTTTACAGATGAAAAAACTGAACTGCTAAGAGGTTTACTATGCAATACGACACAGCAGGAGCAGAGCTGGACACGATTTTAGTCACCTCACTTCTGGGTGATATTATGCCCACCTGATCACAAATCTTGATCATGATAAACCAAGTTTTTATACTAAGATGCTATAGAGGAAAAAAGTCAAGCTTTTCCATCAATTGACCATTTCTCCCAAAGTCAAATCCAAAGCCCAAGTCTGTAGACTGAATGAAAGCTCAGTATTCTCATAAAAACACAAGATATACAGACTTCTGTATTAGGCACAGTATTTTCTTCAGAAGACTAGTTTGAATAAGAAAAATCAACTATAATACAAAAGACTAAAAATTTTCTGAAAATAGGAATTAAGAGTGTTATTTATAATAAGCCATGAACTCAGGTTAGGATTTACCTAAAATTTAAAATGCATTAGAAAAATAATTTCTAAACAAAATATTTTTAAAGTATAAAGATGTTTCCCAGGTATAAAGTATAAAAGATGTTTTCCTTTTGGAAAAGTTACACACAAAAAAGATAATCCTAGGAAGAAAATGTTCTCTTTTCAAATATTTAAAAATAGTTTAAACATATATATCGTTTAGTTTCCACACAGCACTACATGAAATGGTTTTCAATTATTACTTAGTTACATACTCACCCAAGCGTCCCTTTCCCTGACATAGGGGGACTGGGGGGTTTCTGAGTTGGAGGTGTTGTACGCGGGAGCCCACCCATCTTCATGTTCTGGGTACTCACCTAAAAAAATTTTGAGGAAAAATCAATTTAACCTGTATGCAGTGAAACAAAGTGGCACTTTCAGGAAATAACATTATGCTATTTAACAAAGGAGGGGAAGGTTTAAATAGGAAAAAAAATTAGAGGCCATGCATTTCATATGCAATTTCTACTCTACTATCATTCTACAGTTGTACTCAAAGGACTCTTCCTAACGTGAGATTTTCAAATGATTATAAAGTTGTATGCAAAGACTTTATTTGCCATTAGGCCATCACACCAACAGATCACTGGTTAGACTATAAGATACTACATTCAATTGAAATCAAATAGGATAACTGTAAAAAGTTTAGTTTTAATAAAGAGTAACTCAATCAGACAATAATGCCTTTAAGCAATTCCTTGTTTTTTAGATAGCAAGTTTATCATAAAAAACAAAAGGACACGTTTCCCCCCCAAAAAATGCAACTTTAGTTTTGATCCATTGTAAGTAGAGAATATAAAATAAAGTTATATCATATACAGAGAAAATTCCATTTTTTAAAATTGTGGATCAGCCTTACAATTCAGATTTCTTTAATGTTCTCTTATGAAGCAATCACCTACCTGAAAACTGCCAGAAGTTAAGGCATGTTCCTAAACATCGGAACCAGAAAGGTAGGGCTGAGGTATCCCATTCAACTGTGAGCGGTACAATGGCCACTGGCAATGTCCTAGTTCCAATGGGAATTAAACCCACTCAGGCCCAAAATGAAGATTAATTTAGGCATAGGAAAGATGTAACATAGTCCTAAATCAGAGCTAAGCCGTGATTCCTCACTATTCTATCCCCAACTGAAAGTGCAAGTGTGGGAAAGTTGGGTGATTTGGGAACCATGGATGCCACCAAAGGAGAATGTCAGCACTTACACAGAAAGCCCTAGAAATCTGGGTACCTTAAAGAGTTAAGAGAAGTCATGCACAAATATAGATCAAATGCAATCTCAAGTTATTTGAGATTACCAATTGGTTTGAGTTAATAATGTTCACCACATATGTTCATACCTGACCCTATTTTAAGCCCCTAATATTCTGGATTGCCAAACACTTCAAAAAAGGATCTTAACTTTTCTAATAAGAATACATCCAGAGTATTCAAATTATACTTATGAAATGAAACTGCAAGACTTCTGAAATCAGAATAAACTTATAATTGTAATTTTAAAATATAAATTTTAAGAAAACAAATCATAATTATATACAGAGTATTGAGGCTGACAAAATTAACTCTGGCTTAAATGGAATATTTAAAAATCCTAAAATACTATTTGTTATCTGAATAGGGAAGAAATAATATATCAAGAAACAAACTCTTCAAATGAATAGCCCAGTGAACAAGTTGTGTGTGATGTTAAAACAATCTTTAATGACAAATGATACCTTTGAAATATCAATATTTTTAAAGTTAAGCATTCATCTATAATCCTTTTGTCATTGCTTTTAAACAACAAATACAAAACAAACTGGTTATCAAGGAAGAATAAAGATTAACTTATCCTTGCTCTCCCCCTCATTAATAAGCAGAGGGTATAATTGTATCTTAAAATGAAAATGTCAGAAGTTTTAAAAAATTAATCCACATTTGGGGAAAATTTTAGGAGTAATATGACAAATAACGAATAGCTTTTAAAACTGTATATCTTAATTTATGATACCAGATTTTTAAAAGTAGTAACCAAAGTCCTTTAAGCTCAACCTTAAACAACATAAAACCCAAAGTCACTTTAAGTGATGAAGGAGAAGTAGGTGAGCCAAACACTAAACTACATCAATTTGCTAGAAACAGGAAGGAAAAGGAGCAGGGACAGAAAAAGAGTAAAACAGAATTTTATTCTATACATGGAATAGCTAAAATACTTGAAAACAGCTTTCCAACTTTGATTTGTTTAAGGTTTTGGTATATAAGATGTTTTGCTTAAATTGCAGTATCTTCTCTATAAGTCTTTTAATTTACTCAAAACATAAAATAAACAATCTATAAATTAAAATCTGGTGGACATTTCTATACATAAAACTTGATACATTTTATGATCTGTAGAATCATCAAATGGTTCTATTTGTTTGGTTAATGGGGTTTGCATGAGTAACTTAATTCACTTAAGAAACCAAAGAGTCCCTGTGGAATGTCCAACTAATCTATTATTTTATACTTCACTGATGCTGTACTACCTCTGTATTAAGCTAAAAGAGTATTCAATATTTCCTCAAGGTAGCTTTCCTTGTGAAAAATGTTTCTACGCTACGTAAAACAATGAATATGCTATGCAGAATATACATACTGCCATCTAATTTGAGGAAAAGGGGAAAAGAACAGGAATAACTGCCAAACAAAACTTATTATAATATAGATCTCACCTATGATAAAAGTTAATAAACTGTATTTCACAACTAAAATAATTTGGTAAAAAATTACTTACTGGATACTCATCATGGTTCTAAAAACTACTTTGAGGGAAGTTACAGGGGGACACAATGCTTCCTGAAAAGGAGCAAAACACATGACTGAATTGTGAGTGTGGTGAAGGGGAACTTAACTAGAAAGAGAGGACATACCACAAATTCAGGATAAAGCAACACTGCAACCACTCCATAACAGCAATTCCACATGAAGCTTTAGAAAATGTAACACACACAGGCAAAGCTATCATCTGGCACACAAACGTGTAGTTAGCGGTCCTGAATCATGAACAGGAGTGCTCATGATACTTTTCAAAGTTTTACTTGGGAACTGGAATGAAACTTTGGTGGCTGACTCCAACAGTAATTCAATTAATGTGGGTATTTTCTGATGCCACAAAGGAAAAGTCATCATTGAGAGCTGAGTGAAGCAGGTGTTAGGCACACGGAGAAAGAGCAGGAAAGGTCCCTTTTTTTTTCCTGCCAGAATGAAACTCTCAAAACAGAAGAAATACTTCATTTAGGTGATAAAGGTTAATGCATGATCACAACTCAAATAGTTTCCCACTGGCCTGGACTAAGAAATGCAGATAATACCGAGAGTACGAACAATTCCTTTATGACCAGAGTGGTCTGCTCTCCCAGACTCTGGAGATCACTACAACTAGAACCAACCATCAGGCCAATTATTATACCTTATTACTGCTTCTAAAGTGCTCCTATCTTTCCTGCTCTATCCTTTTTTGGTAAATACAATATCCTCCTTGAACACTGATATATATATAGTATCATGTATTTCATATTTAACACTCATTACAAATCTTAGTGATTTCCAGTACCCTGTGAACTCCAGTATTTTTTATAAAGCTGGCCAGCCAGGTATCTCTAGTTCATAGAGCACATCACCTCTGCTATGAAGAAATCTCCCACGAAAAGATGACCTGTTGCAACTTAAAAGTGACAGACACATTCTAAAATGATATCTGTGGTATATCCCTCATTTAAACTACCTACCACCAGACTACTAGGCACAAGGGTAAAAGAATATGAAAAATAAAAGAAGACAAATGTCTGTAAAATGATTTCTCTGCTTTTAAGGAACTTATTTTAGAACAACTAAGACCCACATGTTTAAAACAAAAAGTAGTATCTACAAATTATATAGAAATCTCCAAAAAAGAAATATCAATGTAAGACGAAATGGCTACAGAAGGTTTCATAGAGAAAAATCTGAGCTGGAGTGTTAACAAGTCTTAAAAAGAGCAAGATTTAAATATACTAAGAGAAGAGGAGTAGTATGTATAGATTGTGTCTGGATGTGGCGTAGTGAGAATGGGCAGCAGCTGTGGTCAAGCATCCCTAGGCTTTCAGTCAATGCCCAGTATCGTTCCCCACTAGTTCCATCCAGTGCATAATTTTATGGCTTCCTAGAGATCTTTATCCCTCTCCTCAGAGGATATATGTTCCTACTTCAATTCTCAGAGCCAGCAGGAAAAGAACCAGGAGATCCTCTGAAAGAGATCAAAGCTGAAATCAGGAATTCGAGTATGACTTCAGGAGAGATGTAAAATTTTTAGTAAGAGAGTTAGAAAGACAAAAAGCCTAAGGTGCCAAGAGTCCTAAAATAATCTAATACAGAGATAAGGGAATAAGAGATTAGGATTAAGGGGGGAAGAACAAATAAAGAAAGTAAGAAGAAGAAAAGAGGAATAAAGATGGACAAACTTCTGCTTGATTCTGAAAATAGTTTCTAACAACTGGCTTTTGACAAGATAGAATTGGTGGCTCAAGTCTGGAACTGATAGGCAAACCCAGATGAGTCTTCCAAAAGTTGCTGTTATTGTGGAGTTTTTCTTCCAAGTGTTGTATCCAATAAATGCTTAACAATGAACCCTCAGCTGTACCCGAGAGCTAGAAACGTGAGAGGCAATTTATCATCCTTCTGCACTGTAGGGAATGACACACACAAGATCACATGCAAAGTGAAAAGGTTAGCCCATTTTTTACGTGAAGTTATGGATCTTCAAGATCCCAAGCAAAATTTTCAGAAGTGTTGTATTCTTAATGTGTTAACTGTAAAAGAAACTCCTAACCCCTCCTCATTAATTATTAAGAATCTGCTTGTACAATGTTCATCTGAAATGAATACTACAGAAACAGATCAGAAGTCTTTATTTTTTTTGCATTAAAGTAAATACACTTATTTTAAAAGTACTTAAGCTTAGCTTCATTAGTGACAACTTTAAACTTTCAACAGAAATATCTGTTTCAAACACATCAGTAACAAGGTCTTAAAACTCTTTCATTAAAATAAAGAGTGGGGAAAGGGTACCCCAGTTCAAGGTACATTCCACTTTTATATGGCCTTAGGTACATATTAAAACCCCTCCAATATGGCATTCTATCCATTGGCTTTTTATACCTTTTTCTTTAAAAATCACCACGTTGTTTTCAAAGGTCTTATGAATTAAACTCTACAACTTCTCGTTCGACTGAAAAAAGTTAACCCAAATTTTAGATGAAAAGAACCATTAAACACAACCAGGACATGCTGTACAAAAGGTTAAAAATTCAACTTTTAAGCATGGAGGTCTCTTCTGAGTCAAATCCCATGTGTCTTGTCCCAAAGTATGATATTTGTTTAGAGTATATCTGAAAGGCATCAAGTCTGACAACAATGGGAGCAAAGACAGAGCTCATAATGAGCTGAGGAGGAAATCAAATATCAGGAGACTTCCAGGGCACCTGATATAATCCATAGGTCTCCAAAAAACTCAGCTGGAAAACCAGTGGACTAGTTTACTATCTGCGGTCCCTTCCAACTTTAACATTTTTAAATTCTATTTTCTAACTTAATGTACTCAATTATTCCATTAATCAACCTTCTAAAGCAATTCATTTTTTCCCAACATTAAAAAGAGTAATGATTTGCTATATGCTGAATATTTTTTCCACTCTATTTTGTTTTGGTTCACCCAAAATTATTAACTATGTGCCACAAGTTTATAGAGACGACAGACATACTCAGAAAGATAAGAAGAAAGAGACAGAGGACTGGCACATTCTAGCTTCTAGGATGACCTCACGGTACATACTTCTCACCCTGTCAACCCCATCCCAATATAGTAGAAACAACTACATAGAGCAACAGTACTAAGGAGTGGAGCTTTTTTGGTTCAAAGAGCAAAGATGTTAAGGAATCTTATCCAAGTGTGATGTTCCCTTATTAGATCTTTCTTTCTTGGAAGCTCTCATTTCCCACTCACTCTGGCCTCTCACACAGAACATATCCTGAACCCAGAAAGATCAAGAAGGAATCCTCGTAGGGTTTGGAAGAAATGAGCTAGGGATAGTTCCTTAGGCAAGCTGGTCTAAACTTTAAGGGGAAAGAACTGGTCCTTTTTTTTTTTGTCTTTCCTTTAATCTTTCTGTGCACTTCTATCACTTTGGAGGTTAATGTATCAAAAGCCACAATCTGAATACAGACTTTAAGGGAAAAAAGCCAAGGTAGCCACAGAGACAGCTTTTGGTCTAATTCTACCTATTTTATGCGAAGGAATCTCCTCACTCACCGAGACTGAGGGCTTGGAGTCAACACTCCAATATACTTTTATGTACACATGAAGTACATCTGCCTGGGCTCCTCCAGTCACATCTCTCTACCATGATCTGTTAACTTTCTGTGGCCATGGTTAGTAGCTAGTTAATGATTCAGATCTCAGTCATCTTGTCTTCTTGTTATCACTTTCTACACTGAAGACATGGCAAACAACAGGGTATATAGTAAGAATACATATTTGAAAGGGAATTATAGAATTCAGCTAAGAAAAAAAGAACAAAAATGAAATACATGATCAATTTGGTGACAATAATTTTAGTACCATTCTGACAGGCTTCTTGATTATTCTTGAATGTCTTTTCCCATTTTTCCCTCCAAAATACTAAAATGTTACTGAAACAAGTAAGAAAAGGAAGTATCTTTAATTCTTAACTTGTATTTTGTTAAACACTATCATGAGCTTTTGGTGCTTTGCATATAATACTCGGCTTGAAAACCTCTTAAAGTGAGTTTATACTGAAATATATAATTTATATAGCAATTTGAATAAAAAGACTAATTTTGTTTCTTGCAAATACATGATACTGCAACTTAAAAAACACCCAAAACACTGAATATTTTCCAATTTTCAATTTTTTTAAGAGTGATTAAGAGTCAAGAGATAATGACATAGTGGCCACAAGGTATATAATAAAGCACACCATTTATAGAATAAAAAGGCTATTACACAGGGGGAGGGTTAAATGAAGCACATTAGCAGCCCTCCAATCCAAAACAAAATTTCTACATTTACAAAAGTCCGGCTAATTTTATTTCATAATGACATTTTATGATAGGGTAACTTACATTTCAGTTTCACAAAATATACTGACATTGCAAAATAACCATTTAGTCAACAAATATTTACTAAGTGTCTAATGTGTGTCAAGCACCGTTCTAGGCACACAGAATAGGGCAATGAACAAAACAGTCAAAAACATCTGCCCTCATGGAACATGAAGACACACAAAGTTTCATGACAAAAATAAAATAAAAAAGAGTAACTATTTGTTGGTTTTAAAAGGCCAAGTACCAAATATCTCTTCACTCCCCATATGTAATATTCTACATAAGAACAAAGAATGGAAATCCAGCCCTGGAATCTCTTACCTTAAATCTAAGCAACCACTTAATGCATAAATGGAGCAAATAAAAGAGGTAAGGGAAAAAAGCATTGAAAGGTTAGTTGGAACTTCAGGATGTGAAGAGAAAGGAAAAAAACAAAGAAAAAACAAGTTAAGCATTCAGCATTAAAAAATAATGTTTCAGTAGATCATAGAAAGAGTGGTTAAAGCAGAATGTGTCATGAACAGGAGTTTTGTGATGAAATTATATGACACTTTTATTTAAAAACAACTTTATTAAAGATTTCTTCAAATTAGTGACCCCTAAACACTAAAATGTACAAAAAATGAAAGGGACTACAGATTCCCTAAAGAACATTTACTTGAGGATTAAATAAGAATTGGGGGATCACCTTTTATTATATAAGTGGGGAAGTACAAATATGATGTTTTATATTCTAAGTGCCTTTTTATCATTAAATTCATTCAGGATCCTAAAATTTTCTATTAGCAGTTGTTAGCCTCAAATAAATCTCAAAAGATCTTCCCAAGTTAGAATAAATTTCAGTTATTAATTATCCATCCAATTGTACATCCTATTTTAACATGCTCTAATTAGTACTGTAAACTAAATGCATTAGGTGTTCATTATAAAATTAAATATCAAATTTCAGATAATAGTGCTTGTATCAAAATTATAAGAAAGAAAAAGATTTTTTTAAAAAATTTACACCATACATATTCTTTTACCTAGATCTACATTAAAGTTAGATTTAACTGATTTCTAGCCATACTTGTGTGAGGTATATTTTTTAAATTTAAATTTGCTTATATTAGACACAAATCAACTGCATGAACTGTACAGTTTCACTTATAGGCATATACGTATTTATTCAGCATCACATTTAAAAAGTCACTGTCTTTCAAATCACTGCTGAGATGCAAACTTTAAATAACCTAATACTTAGCTGAAGCTCTGAATAGTTTCTTAAGAACGAACACCAATTTAAATGAAAGTTATATGCTCCTCAGTTGTGATTATGGGTACTTTACATACATAGCAGGCACTTAAATACATTTTAAAAGATAGCCAAAATATATAATGACTATCTACTCAAAAGCAGTGGAAATACTAATTCACATATTAGTTTTATCTACATTATTCTCACCCAAAATGTTGAGATAAATTTGTTTTAGAAAAATTCGAAGTACATGTTTGTTTATATATGTTCTTTCTGAAAACTAATGCCAAAAGTTTGCTGATATTTTTGAGATAAAGCAAATACTTTAATAACATACTGAATAATTTTTAATTAGTCATACTAAATCATTAAAAGATTAGAAATATAATACCACATTTACTTCCAGATCTATATGAGGTATTTTCATAACTGATTAAGTAAAAGCAATTCAGTCAAAGATGACTGTTTAAAACTTGAGAACATAATACTAAGAAGAAAGAAGGATAACATAGTTATAGTGGTAAGAAATCTGAATCAGAACTACAAGTAGGCCAAGACTTGATCCTCTGGAAAGAAAAGATAAACGCTTAATTTTCTAAAGAGTTAGTTCCATTATGGGCTGTTATTTTTAAGCTGGACAAAAATTATACTTACCTTTACTCCATGTCCAATATCATCTAGAATTGTATAGTCAATAGGTTTTCTAATATAACGAACTGGTCGTTCAAGGTTGGCTGGAGCAATAATCTTATGTGTCCTTGAAGTGTTTTTATTGGTAGTCAAAATACCAATTTCTCTTCTTGCAACTTTCTCTTTATGAATGTCAACGGTCTACAAAATATAATATAAACACGACACAAAAATGTATAGCTCTTATATCCAGAAAAATAAAAATATAAACACTTAGAGGTTTAATATCATTATTCATATTCTTAACCGCAACTGCTAACTTCTCCTTTTGGGACCAATACTGACTTTCTCCCTTTCTAGGCTAAAGCAAGGGATGGGAAACCATGGCTGGCAGACCAACTTTGGCCCCCCCTCCCATTGTGGAGCACAGGCTCCGGACGCACAGGCTCAGCGGCCATGGCTCACGGGCCCAACCACTCCGCGGCATGTGGGATCTCCCCGAACCGGGGCACGAACCCGTGTCCCCTGCATCGGCAGGCGGACTCTCAACCACTGTGCCACCAGGGAAGCCCTACATTTTTTTAATGGTTGAAAAAAGTCAAAAGAAAAATACGTCTTGACAGGTGAAAATTATATGGAATTCAAATTTCAGTTTCCATAAACAAAGTTTCATTGGAACACAGTTATTCTACTTGCTTATATATTTTCACAATATAATGGCAGAGGTGAGTAGTACTAACAGAGACCTTATGGCCTGCAAAGCATGAAATATTTATTAGCTGGCCCTTTACAGAAAAAGTTTGCCAACCTCTGGATTAAACATGCTAATTTTTCCCCTCTCCATTAAGACTTAACCTTATTAAGAAAGCCCTAGTGAAGGAATTCCCTGGTGATCCACTGGTTAGGACTCTATGCTTTCACTGCTGAGGGCCTGGGTTCAATTCCTGGTTGAGGAACTAAGATCCCACAAGCCGTGCAGTGCAGCCAAAAAAAAAGAAAAATCCTCAAAAAAAAGAAAGCCCCAGTGATTAATCTGGTTCCATTTAAAAATAACCTATTAGTATAAATTCTATTAGTGTTTAAATATTTTTTATTAAAAAAAGAGAGGCCTAAACTATAAATACAATGTTAAAATAAGAATCATTTTTTACAGAGAAACTTGTTTACTGAGGCAATGCTGCTTATATTTTATCATAACAAAATGCTTGTAAAATATTTCACTATTATTTATTAAATGTTCAAAATAGGATATAATTTAGTACATAACAACAATGTGTTTTTACTCAATTTTCTATTTGCTGAGAGAGGGCGAATTTAAGCACGGGTAATTAATACACTAAAGCAGCATTTTTCAAACTGCAAGGTGCAATTTAGTGAGATGTGAGCAGCAATTATTTTAAATGAAAAAGAACAGAAATATCAGAAAACATACACATAGTAAGGTATTTTTTCTTAAAATATGTTATGTATATAAATACATACATTAAATTGTGTACTGGATGGAATATAAAATGTATTTTTAACTGTGAGTTGCAGTTTAAAAAGTTTGAAAAATACTTCACTAAAATTTTGTTCACATCTCTTGCCACCATTCCTGGCTCAAGCAGCAATTAACAGATACTTTTGCTATTTCCTCCCCAAACCTACTTCAATTTACCCTGTCTAAAGAATAACCAGGTAGTAACACAGAAATGGAAATGAAAGATAACCATCATGACATTATTAAATACAACTTTAAGAAATCTGAACACTGATTACTTATCCTTCTAAACTACCTAAAGTGTGAAGGAAACTTGAAACAAATTTGAAGCCTCCCATTTCAACCAACAGATTTTAAAAGAAACAGAATCTGTAAGTTCATAACTAATAAATATCTAAATGAAGCATCAAATCGAATACTGGCCAAGGTAGTGACCTTATCATTTTAACTATTTCTTTTTAAGACAAAAATAGGTTTTGAACTTTTTCAGTACATATTAGAAAAATTACAATATTTGCTTTCCTTTTCAACTGCTTGAGGGAGCTATAACAGAAAAAAAAAAAGGTTGCACATTAGTGACAATATTGGAATTTACTTATTTTTAACTTCAGAGAAATGGAAATTAATCATATTTTACTTTTGAATAATTTTTAATGAGTCTTTCTGAATTATTAAAAATATGAACTAGGGGCTTCCCTGGTGGCGCAGTGGTTGAGAGTCCGCCTGCCGATGCAGGGGACACGGGTTCGTGCCCTGGTCCGGGAAGATCCCACATGCTGCAGAGCGGCTGGGCCCGTCAGCCATGGCCGCTGAGCCTGGGCGTCCGGAGCCTGTGCTCCGCGACGGGAGAGGCCACAACAGTGAGAGGCCCGCGTACCGCAAAAAAAAAAAACAAAACAAATAAACAAAAAAAAAATGAGCTAGGAAGATTTCATACTTACCAATTATACTACAAAATAACCAAAAAACCCCAAAATATGACACTTATTTTTTATATATAACTGGTCTTTGTTATACCAATAAAAGAAAATTTATTAGAGAATGTAATCCTCTTTCAACATTGTTTTCATTCTGCTTAGTTAGAAATATAATTATCTTATTCAGAAATGAAAACAAAAGAATGTAAACCTAATCAACAATAACAGAATTCTAAACTTAGGGCAAACTGGAACTTCAAATTTCAAATTTTCCTGCTAGAAATATTAATAAATCTCTGGAGAATGAAAAGAGGGGTAACTTTTCATTATTATTTGCACTAATATACAGTTATATTTTATAACAAGCACATATTTTAAATTGTTTGAAAAAACTGAGACTTTTTTAAAAGCATTAAAACAATTAGAGATCATACCTGGGGATTGGGGGCACTTACATATTACTTATATATTTTCTTTATGTACACATAAACACACAGCCCAAACCTGTATAAGCCATTACAGTAAGCATAAAAGACCAACACAGCAAAAGAAACGATCACAGAACTTTTATATATAAGCCGAAATAAGGGATAGTTGCTACAATAAGGCATAAAATTAGGCTCTTAGCTTCGTAGAGAAGGCAAAGTATAAATAATGAGTTACAAGAAAACATACACCCCTTCATTGGAGAAGTGACCATGTGCCCAGCACTAAACTCTTAAAGGAACTGGTTGAAGGAATTATGAGAAAAATGTTCTTTTTTGCTTCTTATATTAATTCTCATTAAAACTGAAGGCATATTTTAAAACGTAATTCTTAACAGCATATGTCTATATGAAGCTAAAATAATCTAGTTTGGTTATACGTTTCTAGTTGTCTACTCTAAAAGAATACTAGAGCAGGGCTTCTCAACAGCAGCACTACCAGCGTTTTGGGCCAGATAATTCTTTGTTGTGGAAGGGCTGTCCTGAGCATTGGAGGTTGCAGAGAAGCCTCCCAGCTGATATCTATAGCACTCCCCACCCCAAGCTGTAACAACCAAAAATGTCTGACGTTGCCAACTGTTCCCTTGGGGGTAGAACTGCTCTGACAGAGAACCAGTGATGTAGAAGAAGGACTAATTCATTTGTCTCATACATTATTCACTCTCAAATGTCAATTGTTTCCAAACTTTGTACAAGAGGTGATTTATGATTAATGCCTCTAGTGACTGCCAAATATCAATATTTGACGTCATTAACTTTTAAAAATCATCTAAAATAATAAAAGTAATATATGGTTAAGAAAACCCAAAGGTATAATTTGTGAATTGCCATCCTAATACCACACTGAATTGAACTGTAGGAGTTCCCGTAGACAGAATCAAATATACCTTCAGAACATGGCTATGATTTTATCTTAAGTCTGAATAACAACTTTTAATGGAGAACAATAAATCTATTACATAAATAAGGAGGAGAAAGTTTGGTCCAGAAGATTCTGAAGTTTTCAGCAATTACCTAATTCACATTTTTCAAAGATTTCTCTGGTAGAAAATACAACCATTTTCAAATTAGACAGAGTAATTTAATGAATACCCTCCATATACTTAATATCCAGCTTCAACATTCATCAACTCACAGCCAACTGTCAGTTTTAAAAGAACTTTGGTAAAGCTCCTAAAACATATTTTTAAATATGGCTTGTATGTTTTTCCTAAATCAAACTCGTAGCTTTCAGTAATCACCACTGCCTTTGCCTTCACAATATACTTTGATATTACAATGCTGTAATGAATTAAGTTAAATTTTGGAAGTACGAATTCAACACTGATAGCTAGTCAGAATTTTAATAATAAGAAAAGTATTTTCCACTTATCCTGGATTTCTAAAGTTACTAGTTATATGCCAATAAACTTACTCTCATTTAGAAGAGGCCTCAATAATAGCACTCACCTATGGCAAGTGGAAAATGTGTTTAACTAGCAAAGAAGACCAAAACTAATGCAAGTACACTGCTATTAATACTATTATTGTTTGCTACCTGTTAACCAAAAAACACGCCAAGTAGTATTGCTACAACTGTGCAAGAGTTCAATATCTTTTCTCCCACAATTCCTTAACAATTTGTTTCTCCATCCTCTAACAGCTATTGCCAAGCTGGTCTCACATGCTGCAGGCTCCCCCCATGATATTTCAACCACGCAGTGCCAAACCCAGGCTCCTCTAGAATACCTCTCATGGCCTTGACTTTCAGCTCCTCTGCAAGCCTGAGCCCCCCTCCCACACCTCCATCATGGACCCAAGCACATGCTCAGGCCACAGCAGATGACAGGAAGGTATGTATAAAGTATTTTGCTTTAGGGTTATCCATGCATTGTCGCATTACCACAGATAATTGAAAGTAGACTGTACTGGATAGCACTACCTCAGTCAGCTGCCCATCAGTGTGGGAAAACATCCGCAGTCAAACAGTTACAGTGGGTTAACTCAACTAAGTTGGGTCTTTTAAAATGTGTCTCCATTTTTTTACATTAGTAAGTTAATGTTTCAAATAAGCATTTACTTATTTTAATCACAAATATGCTTTACACTATTCATCTTTCATAAAACAAATTAGTTATTCACAAACTGAATGGGTAATTTTCAGTTATTTATTTTTTATAAAATGATATAAACTTAATTAGGAACTGTATAAATCCTACTTTCTATACATAATTACACACTGATAACCATTAGTGGTATTTCCTTAATTTAAAATTGGGAATTTTTAAACAAATCTATATACATAAAGTTTTTTTTATTTATTATTTATTTATTTATTTT